TTTTCGGTAGCCCGGATCGGAAGAACTCCACAATTAAGCGTGCTTGACTTGGAGCAATTCTGGGATGGGTGACCTCCTGGGAAGTTTTCCCGGGAAGTGTGCGAGTGAGGACAAAGCACACTGAAAACTCTCGTGTTAGTGTGTGGGGACAGTCATTGATTCTTGCAAGTTGTCAGGCGTTACAAGTGGTATCAGAGCAGGGCCTCTCTTCCAGTACGGTGTGGTTCGAGGATGAACCAGGCGGAAGCTGGTGGGCATGTAACATCCCAAGAGCTGGCAAAGGCAGGGAGTCATCGCCGGTGCGAAAGGGCACGGACAATGAGCGGCTCATGCCAAATCTTGCAGCTTGGGGGTTCATGAATGAATCGAATCAACACTCGAAAGAGAGGGATTCCAGCGACTGTGCTGGTATGGGAACAAGATGCATCTACTTTTCGGTAGCCCGGATCGGAAGAACTCCACAATTAAATGTGGGGAAGTGTAAAGTGAGGAAAAAGCATTTTTTACAAGTATGTATAATTAGTGTGTATTATCATGTTGAATTTTAAAGTTGTCAGGCGTTACAAATATATTAGAAAGAAATCAAACTTTCATTCTTTTGAGAATGATTAACACAGAGTGTAATTAACAAATTTTCTATGTCGTGAATGATTACCTAGAAGTTGTTACTTGGAGAATGTGTACAGACCTCTATGCATGTTTTCCTTTATTTTTTGCATTTGTTAAGCCTATTAATTTATTATTATGTCTATTGGGAGGGAAAATATTTAATACTTAAAATTTAAGCTTTCTAAATTTGAATTTTGAACTTGGGAGGTGGAAAAAAATTCAGCACTTAATATTGCCCACTACTTTTTGCGTAGGAAATTATTAAGCATATTAATGATAGTTATTATTATGTTTATTGGGCTTAATTATTATACCTATTAGAAATATTTATAAAACTGGAAAAAAGATATGTATGAAATAAATTTAATTTTAATAAAGAATTATTAATTAAACGAAAAAAATATTTAAAATTAAAAAATATACTTTAAAATAAAGTAAATTAAAATCTTGACTTAAAATAATGACGCAAAAAGGAAAAAAAAAATTCGTACAATAAAATTTTTAGGAAATATTTAAGAAAAATATTTTAAATGTATATATATATATGTATGTATATAATATAAATTAAAAGAGAAAAAAATTATTTTTTAAAATATGTATAATTAATTCTATTATCATGTTGAATTTTAAATTTTAAAATTAAATATATTAGAAAGAAATCAAACTTTAATTCTTTTGATCAAAGAGTGTAATTAACACAATTTCCTATGTCGTGAATGATTACCTACAAGCTATTACTTGGAGAATGTGTACAGACGTCTATGCATGTTTCCCTTTATTTTTTGCATAAAAAATTGTTAAGCCTATTAATTTATTATTATGTCTATTGGGAGGGAAAATGTTTAATATTTAAAATTTAAACTTTCTAAATTTAAATTTTGAACTTGGGAGGTGGGAAAAGATTCAGCATTTAATATTGCCCACTACTTCTATGCATGTTTCCCATTTCTTTTAGTATGAAAAATTATTAAATCTATTAATAATCTTTATTATTATTTCTATCGGGTGAGAAAATATTTAATATTACAAATTCAAACTTTTTAAATTTGAATTTTTAACTTGATAGGTGGAAAAAGAATTCCGCATTAATGTTTCTATAGTGAAAAAATATATATAGTAAAATTAAATTCAATATGTTAAATTATAGAAAAAAAAATTATTTAAAATTTATAAAAATATATGTATAATTGATAAAAAATAATTTAAATGAAAAAAATTAGAAATGACATATTTATACCTTAAATAAAGTAAAATTTTACTAAATCGAAATACAAAAAGAGAAAAATATTTCCTCACAAGTATTTTTTTAACATAAACGTTTTAAATATATATGTATAACCAATATTAAAAAGTATAAAAATTATAAATTAAAAGAGAAAACATTAAAAATTTTCAAAAATATGTCTAATTAATACAAAATTATTGGATTATATTAAATGCAATTCAATTCAATTCTAGTTAGAAGTGGCAAACTGGATTCGGCCCACAGGGCCGGCCCACCAATATTTTTTTATAACTAAATTAAAATTTCATCGTTCTTCTTTTACACTTAAATTCTTAAATCTGATTTTAATTTTTGTAAATACAAATTTGTAAAATTCAAAATGCTATTGACATAAATTCTTTCAAAAAAATAATTATTTACATAAAATGCTGATAGTTAAATGTTGCAAACTGGGCTTGGCCCAGAGGGCCTGCCCGCCCCGCCTGCCAACACGTTTTAATAATTAAATTAAAATTTCACTATTCTTTTTTTAAAATTAAATTCCTAATTCAGATTTCAATTTTTGTAAATACTAATTTATAAAATTTCAAATACTAACGACACAAATTCTTGCAAAAAAAAATTATTTATTATTATTTTATAAATCTAATTGTAATAAATGAAAGTTCATCTCTAAGATAAAATATAAAAACCTAGACGCAACTATAAGAGCTTTTTTTTTAGGATGAATATAAAAATCTATTACATGCTAATAGTTAGAGGTGACAAATTGGGCTCGGCCCGGAGGGCCGGCCCACCAAAATATTTTTATAATTAAATTCAAATTTCACTATTCTTTTTTTATAATTAAAATTTCACTATTCTTTTTTTCCCGTGCATCGCACGAGTTATACTTAACTTTGAAGGAGTTTTTTATGTAGGGTGTTGATTTGGAATATTATTCAAGAAGACTTAACGTTCTTAATGAAAAATCCATGTTATTTAAGGTCAACGTAAAAAAAAACAATTTGGAGTCATATAATGAGCCAAGATATCATGTTTCAAGTGTTTCAAGTAGCGAAGCTATTGTCACCTTATTCTTTAAGTCTTTGGTGGACCTGAATTTATGTTGTTGTTTTTTAAAAACTTGATTACGTATGGATCCATAAACTTGAGTTTATATATTTGAGAATGTATTATAATAACCTAGCTCGTGCCTTGGATACATTCTGTTTATTATAGTTTAGTTTTCTTGTAGATTGCAATATGAAAATATGACCTCCACAAAATGCATGAATTTTTGTAGTGTACATGGAAAAGTAAATGGCAATCGGCCAACTTTAGGGAGAATAAATACTCAGCTCTATGATTTTGCTCAATTAATTTGATACAACAAGATAACATCTTACAACTCAAATTAGTCTTGGTAATATACAATTAATAAGAATTACGGTCGGCTGAATAAGCGAACTGAACCGTATTAAAAAAAAAAAAAAAACCAATCTTGAGAATCAACATAATTTTATAGACGAGTTAAAAAATTGAACCTAATCAAAATAACCCTTTTAAACTAATTTGTATATCCAAATTGGTTCTGAATGTGTTATTTGAATTGAATCGATTTAAACCAACTTGATTCAATTTAGAAAAAAATCGATTTAGATCATATCTACCCTTAAATTGAGAATGCTAATATCCTGAAATATATATATATATATATATATATATATATATATATATATATATATATATATATTAAATTTAGAGTAACTATAGCAATTGTTATCATGCTTCTTCCTCATCATTTAGCAAATCTTCAATATAACTAAATATAAAAAAGTACATATTTAATTGTGTTGTTGTAAAACAGAAAAACATCAAATGACAAAAAGAAAAGAAAAAAGAGAAAAAGATAAGATGTTAGATATTTAAACTATGACTAAAAGAATAAAACATAATCTTAGATTTGGTATGGGGTTTTGGTCACATGCAATGTTGTCAAACTCGAGTTTCTACGTAGAAACGGAAAGGGTTGATAGAAACATAAAACGTAGAAACGACACGAAACGTAAAGTTTCTACTTTCTACCTCTTAAGGTCAAGATACAAAATTATATATATGCATGTAAAAAAAAATCACATAATGAATATGTATGTTGAGCTACTTATCTATCTAAAAAGGAAAATTATTTTTCATAACCAAGTATCAAAATTATAAAGAGTGAAAATTAACAAGTAATGGATAACCAATCTGTTCTAATTGCTTTATACACTCTGTGGATTTTGGATCATCGCTCATCAGGATATAATTCCACTTCTTTCAAAGCACACAATGATCCAAAAACATAAAGCGATTCTCATTGCATAACTTATAATAGAATTCAGCTTTATTAGACATAATTATAAAAAACATATATCCAAACAAAAAGATATTAAGATACTGTGAATATGATTTGGGAAAAACGAAAAATTAGGTTTTTATTTTTATTTTTTTGTAAATCTTTTTTTTTAATTAAATTTTTAGTTTTAAGTAAAAACGGTAAAAACGTAAGTTTTTACCGTTTTTACACGGCGTTTCTACCAGTTTTTACCAAGGACAATTTTTACTTAAGTTTTAACACGCACCACTCTAGTAAAAACGTAAGTTTTTACGTTTTTACACTAGTTTTTTTGACAACAATGGTCACATGAAACTTGTTCAGCTCCTATAAATGATGACCACCATCTATCAATATCTGCCATTTGAAGATCCAACCTCGGCCTTCGGGATGATCATCCATCGTCATGTCCCCAACTGCATATCAGTACAAACAACAAAGAATAATCACAATCTTAATTAATCAACCAAATGAATACAGAACTACAATAAAGAAAGCATTGGTAAAGTACACGGATTATAGGGATAGCTTTCTTTGTCAAGAAAAATCAAGCTGCATGTGAAGTCAGAAGCACATAAACGATTGAATGTACTTTCGACCCCAAGATTCCTCATCTGTTGGCTCTTCATGAGATCATAGGCATGCAAATGCAATGAATCTTTTTCTCCATATGAAAAACGTGGAAGCACTAAAACTTCAGAGCTTGTGTCCTGTCCTAATACTTGTTTAATAATATTTCCCTCTGATAAATGAACACTCTGAATATTAATCCATGACTCTCTCTTCATCCATTTATTACAACTACCATCTCTAAGGTACTCTATAAGCGAGAGGCAACCGTCGATCACAGTAATATCCAAATCCAAATGTCTCTGGGACATAGCCGACAACACTTGTGGAAGCTCCATCTTGCTGAACTTCTCCTCCACCATATGGAAGATGAGTATGTAGTAAATGTCCGTTGAGAAGCAAACGAGGATTCACGATGATGACCCCGTCACGATCATAGGATGTAGCGAAGCAAACGAGGCCGTTGAGAGCCCCCACAAAACGGTATGTACTCAGCATACGAGGAAGCGAAAACCAGCATTCGATATTTGGGGAGCATATAGAATAGTGTTCAAGTGAGTGATGGACAAGGAAGAGAGAAGTGGAGGAGAGGGAGCATTGTTGGTAAGAGGATACGAAGCGGTGGCTTTTTATCAAAAGGTTCCATGATTTGCACACTGCCATACACTTTCCAATGCTTTTGGGCGGAAGGCGATGAAGGATTTTCTCCGGTATATCTTCGTGAACATAATCAGACATTGTGACGCCGTTAGGGTTTGGAAGCGAACTACTTGGGTTAAACTTAAACATGAGAGAGTGTAAAACGTAAATTATTGGATGATATTTAAAAATTTCTGTAAATTCAAAAAATAATAAAAAATTCAAACTTATTATTAATAATGATAATTTGATTGTTGATTTTTTTTCCTTTTCATAAAAAAGTTCAATCTACGAAAAAAATCAATAATTATATTATTATTATTATCATTATTATTATTTTTGAAATTGCTTGGATTTTGAAATATGATTCTATTCATATATATGTTCATATTTCAAAAGCCTTCAAATTTAAATGGGATAGCCTTCAAATTCAAACTTATTATTAATAACGTGGTACGTACAGGGTCTGCCTTGACTCTTTTTACTTATTTTGTCAATACTCAACAAAACAACTTATTGGAAATTGGAATCACTGTTACCTATCAATACTCAATAAAAGAGAAAAGAAAAAACAAATTCACTTTACCTGTTAAATTCCTGTTTTGAACTTTTAGCATAATGTCAGTCAATTCTCTGAGACACCCGGCATGCATTTTTCTTATCTTGAAATTCTTTGGAATTTCACTTTTCACAGTGCTACGCAGAAGAGGGAGGTCGAGGACCTTTTCGAACCAAGAATCTTTTGGCTTACTACTAATAAAGTAATTGAAGCGTAAAAGTGCTTCACCAGCAACCTCATTGATCAAATATCTTGATACATTCAACATACTGAATACCACACGAGAATATGCAATCCTCTCGTCCAGCCAGATCCAGAAGGCTACAACTTTCAATCTCTCCTCTGGTTCTATTGGTGGAACTTTTTTTTTTAAACCCTACTGAGGGAGCATTCACAAGCCTCTTATAAAGCTTTTTGTCTAAGTCGTGAAACTCAAAATAATCCTCTTCACATTCAGAATTCATCAAATCTGTTGAGAAGTCAAAAGTCACAACCATTGGAATCATGCATTTCCTTACATATGCTGGGAGACATCTTTGGTATTTGGGATTGGAGTTATGATTCTTTAAAAGTAAAACATTTTAAATAAAAATTTTAAGGTGTGAATAAAGAAAACAGAAAAAAGTTTACAGAAACATTCATAATATTGAAAAAGGGATTAGGATTATGATGAACAAATGCAATGGGTATAATGACAATGTGAATAACCCTTCTCACAGTATAATGGGTATTCAAGAATTGAACACACATTATTATTAATTTCTTTAGGTAAATCCGAGTAAAAGAAAATGAAAAAATAAAAGGAAAGAAAGAAGAATCAAGATTGCACCTGGCTGTGAGAGTACGTGACAGTAGGATTGGTATTTTCAACTGTTCAATAAGAAGCTGAGTTCGTTATATAGTAATCATTGAAGACTCTTCGACGGTTGGTTAGTTAGTATTGAAGCGAAACAAGCAGTTAACTATGATTGATCTCAATTGGAAATAAGGATTCTGATTCAATTGAGATCAATCACGATTAATTGAGATCAATCACGATTTGGTAATTATTTGTCCAATGATGGATATCTTTGGAATCCTAATTCTTGGGTTGATTGCTTTTAATTTGATTATTCTTTTTTTTTTTCATTTCAGTTTAAATTTACAATCATATTCAAACCCCCTATTTTAGTTTCCGTTTTTCTTTAATTTCCGTTTCTCTTTATTTTCTCTTTTTATTTTGTTTCCATTTTTATTTGGTTTAATTATTTTAATTTTGAATTAATTTTGATTTTAATTATTTTTATTTTGATTTTAATTATTTTCATTTTCATTATTTTCATTTTCATTTCAATTTGATTTTGATTTCAATTTGATTTTAATGTGAATTACGATAAAAACATCCAAAGACATCTGAAAGTATCTTTCTCCACTCTAAGCCACCTACATGTGAAAATTCCACAACCAAGAAAGTGGGTAAAAGAAAATGAAAAAATAAAAGGAAAGAAAGAAGAATCAAGATTGCACCTGGCTGTGAGAGTACGTGACAGTAGGATTGGTATTTTCAACTGTTCAATAAGAAGCTGAGTTCGTTATATAGTAATCATTGAAGACTCTTCGACGGTTGGTTAGTTAGTATTGAAGCGAAACAAGCAGTTAACTATGATTGATCTCAATTGGAAATAAGGATTCTGATTCAATTGAGATAAATCACGATTAATTGAGATCAATCACGATTTGGTAATTATTTGTCCAATGATGGATATCTTTGGAATCCTAATTCTTGGGTTGATTGCTTTTAATTTGATTATTCTTTTTTTTTCATTTTCGTTTAAATTTACAATCATATTCAAACCCCCTATTTTAGTTTCTGTTTTTCTTTAATTTACGTTTCTCCTTATTTTCTCTTTTTATTTAGTTTCCATTTTTATTTGGTTTAATTATTTTAATTTTGATTTGATTTTGATTTTAATTATTTTTATTTTGATTTTAATTATTTTTATTTTCATTATTTTCATTTTCATTTCAATTTGATTTTGATTTCAATTTGATTTTAATGTGAATTACGATAAAAACATCCAAAGACATCTGAAAGTATCTTTCTCCACTCTAAGCCACCTACATGTGAAAATTCCACAACCAAGAAAGTGGGTAAAAGAAAATGAAAAAATAAAAGGAAAGAAAGAAGAATCAAGATTGCACCTGGCTGTGAGAGTACGTGACAGTAGGATTGGTATTTTCAACTGTTCAATAAGAAGCTGAGTTCGTTATATAGTAATCATTGAAGACTCTTCGACGGTTGGTTAGTTAGTATTGAAGCGAAACAAGCAGTTAACTATGATTGATCTCAATTGGAAATAAGGATTCTGATTCAATTGAGATCAATCACGATTAATTGAGATCAATCACGATTTGGTAATTATTTGTCCAATGATGGATATCTTTGGAATCCTAATTCTTGGGTTGATTGCTTTTAATTTGATTATTCTTTTTTTTTTCATTTCTGTTTAAATTTACAATCATATTCAAACCCCCTATTTTAGTTTCCGTTTTTCTTTAATTTCCGTTTCTCCTTATTTTCTCTTTTTATTTAGTTTCCATTTTTATTTGGTTTAATTATTTTAATTTTTATTTGATTTTGATTTTAATTATTTTTATTTTTATTTTGATTTTAATTATTTTTATTTTGATTTTAATTATTTTCATTTTCATTATTTTCATTTTCATTTCAATTTGATTTTGATTTCAATTTGATTTTAATGTGAATTACGATAAAAACATCCAAAGACATCTGAAAGTATCTTTCTCCACTCTAAGCCACCTACATGTGAAAATTCCACAACCAAGAAAGTGGGTAAAAGAAAATGAAAAAATAAAAGGAAAGAAAGAAGAATCAAGATTGCACCTGGCTGTGAGAGTACGTGACAGTAGGATTGGTATTTTCAACTGTTCAATAAGAAGCTGAGTTCGTTATATAGTAATCATTGAAGACTCTTCGACGGTTGGTTAGTTAGTATTGAAGCGAAACAAGCAGTTAACTATGATTGATCTCAATTGGAAATAAGGATTCCGATTCAATTGAGATCAATCACGATTTGGTAATTATTTTCCAATAATGGATATCTTTGGAATCCTAATTCTTGGGTTGATTGCTTTTAATTTGATTTTTTTTTTCATTTCAGTTTAAATTTACAATCATATTCAAACCCCCTATTTATAGATGGTTGATAAATTTAACTAAATTATTAAAATTAAAAATGTGTTGTTATGTGGCTATGTATTTTGAGCTAACAGACTATTTTCTGAGTGAATGTTTGTCTGATTGCTTGAGGGCAAGCAATTGCTTAAGTTTGGGGTATTTTGTTAGCACTAAATTATTTATATAATTATTGTATTATTTTATATTATTTTAAATCTCTTTGGGTTGACAATTACAGGAAAATGGGCTCAAAGAATGTGAAATATGGCCCAATTCAAAATAAGGAAGTAACCAAGCCCAAGTTAATTTATTTTTGCTGATAATTGTAATTATTCAAAAAAAATTAGGTACTTTTTGGAAGCAGCCACGTGGATCAATTTCATGGAAGTGAGAACATATTTTCACCATTGGATAAGTCAGAAGATGGACGGCTACTAAAAGAGATGATTTTTCTGTTTTAGTTAATTTTTGTGGGTTGTAAAAAATAGATACAGATTTTTAGACCAGAATATAGATTTAGAATTTTTCAATCTTCGTAATTCTTGGTTTTTAGAAGACTCTGAGTGTTGTTAGATTTTGTGAGAAAAACTAAATGCGTTGCTCTTCAAGATTCCATAATTTCAAAGCATCGACAACGCTGCGGAAGGAATAATCAAGGGTGCATGCAAAGTGAAGTTCAAAGATCCTAGCCCTAGTTTAGGAATCGATACTTTGGTTTGTACAATTTACTTTGATCTTTAATTCTGAATGCATGTTTCTTTTTCTGATATATCTCTGATATATCTCTGAGTGTTCTTTTTTCTTTTTCTGGGTATTCAAAATGATTGGGTGAAATTTCTTGATGTGCATTGTTATTGTTTCTTTCATCCTCATTCGTTTGATACTTTTATTTTTTAACTCAAGAACTCCATGGGAATGGGACTTGAGTATTTTAACAAAAGGAAATTGGGAAATGGACTTTTGTTAAGTGTTAAATGAACCCTTTTGGTTAGAAATAATCGAAGGTGTTTTCTGATATAAATTTCTATAAAGATTCAAGAAGCTTTGGGAAAAGTCCTTCTTGAACCTTATTGTTGAACCTGGAAAGCTTCAGCTAAACTTACCCTAGTAACTCAGAAACTGAGATAAAGATGCTATAACAATGTACGATTTTGCAGTAATGCAAATAATTTTTGTTACCCATGATTTGAGATATACCCAGAAGCCCTTAATCTTGATAAATCAATTCTTTATTTTTTAGATCAGTTTTAATAATTGATAAATGCTATAAAAAACCAATTGAGTTTCAATTCAAGAATCCTTAATTCAGAAAAATACAAAGAAAAATACTTCAACCTGTTCCCTGAGAACGATAACTCTATC